TGTGTGTGTGTGTGTGTGTTGGTCATCTGCATTTTATTCTGAGCCCAAAAAACACTGCGATGCCGCTGCAATGTTGCTGTGTCCTGCTCAGGCCTTTATCATAGATCCAGAGTCTAGATCTACTTTGTTTGTTTGTGTGTTTGCTTGTTTGTTTGTGGTCATTAAGACAGTTGTGCGGACAGCAGACAGAGACTGTCTGGTACCAGCGAGCTACAGCAGGGGGCCACAGACATCAGCAGGGAGGGAGGCTCCTGTGACTGCCAACAGCATGTTAGCACTGGTTCCACAGCGGCACGCCTCGACCCACAGCTCCGACACACACACTCGTGCACTCCACTGCTCAGAGTGAAATACTTTGGACACAACGGACTACATAATACATGATCTAGTGCCCTGTTAAGGATGTTTGTCAGTGCAGCTTAACACTAAACATTAAACAGCGATTTAGGTTTTTCCCCTGTGATGAAGCCCCTTTCATCAGGCAGTGATGACAGTCTCAATAAGCTGGACCCAGTGATGTAAACTAAAACAGCGCAAGTCTAAACTGAATATTTTCACATACACAAAAAAGCAGCAGCAGCACAAACTGTGTGAGAAGCATTTGTGCTAAAATCTGTTTTCTTTAATCAAATAATTCCCCATCAAATCTGATCAGACCTCACGTACCCAGCTTTGATACAGTAGATCAGGCGAGTTTCTGAACTTCAAATCCTTAATAAATAAAAACTGAATTTTGATTAATGTTTGTTAAGTTATGAAAGTTACAGAGGAATTTTTTAAGATCTGAAGTGAGGTTGTTCAGCAGTTTTTGTCCAAATAATGTCACCTCAGATCAAACTATAAAACTATTTTCTTTTCCTTTGGGGGATTTAAAAATCCTAATTACTCTCCCTAATGTTTGGCTGTTATTCATGATGAATATCTTAAAGTTATGTATAACAATTTTACATACATCAGCAAACGTAGCATCCTGTCATTCTGTACTGGTGCCCTGTTGGATGGTTCAGTAGACGACAGGCCATATTAATAAACTGATGGAGGATCAAATTACTGAGTTAGAAACATTAAGACTTTAAAATCCTTCCATCATTATTTCTTCACTCCACTGCTGTCTGGTACTTTTATTTCTTAATATTTTAATTATACCATGTCTGAAAGGGGCTATCACCAAATATCTGCATGTAGCCAGTAACTCATTCCCCCTGCAGCCATGCTTCCATCTACTCTGCGTGCAGTGGGAGCTTTAGGTCGGGCTCCGAGTCACCACAAAAAAAAGACAGTGCTAAAATGCTGTTGGACCTCTGGGCTGTCACCTGTGCCAGTGGAGACTGTGGATACACTCTGTGGTATCCAACTCAAACATATTGTCTTGACTGTATGTCAGAAAGGCCTCCGAGGGTAGGATTAGTGTGCCTTCTCGTCGCAGTTTTCACTCTCATCACTAGGTGGTGGTGTTCATCTTACCACCGTCTCCCAGAGGATGGGCTCACTCTGACGGGATCCCATCATCAATAATTTATTTCAGTAAATCCAAAACTAATAAATGAGCAGCTTGAAATCCAAAGGAATCTGGAGCCGTCATGTCCCCTACATGTAGGCCTGGACCTCCACCATCAAATCACCCATCATCCTTCCATCCATTCCTCCTCCATCGTTGTTGAGCTGTGGCGCTCTCAGTGTGGACATTCTTCCATTCGTCTTCCGTGTCTGCATCTTTTTTAAATAAATGTGTTTCATCCGTCCACCGTTCCACTTCCTGGTGGTCTGACTTGTGGCGCTGTTCTCTCACTTGGTCCTGCTCCTGTCAGTCACTGGTACTGGAGGTAATTTTTGAGGGACTGAGGAAGAGGGAGGCTCTCGATCTCTTGAAGCCGCTCCCGACCCAACGCCAAGCGGGCTGCACGCCGACACAGGTCCATTAGAGGAAGGGGCTCGGCTGCAGAAAGGAAGTAGAGAGAGACGGCATAAGTCTGTGAGCAAAAAACTTGATATGTCATGAATTGATTTGCCTGTGTGTTATATGCACCTCTGCCTTTTATACATAATACATCCTTATATTTGTTATGCATGGAAGAGTGAGGAAAAGAATTGGAGGGGCAGATAGAGTGACACATAAATATTCAAACCTTCTCCTCACATGCACCAATCACCTGTTCCTAATAGATGTGTATAAGCCCATTTATTTGAACTCATTGAATAAAGAACACCATCTGTCACAGGGTCTTTCTTTCCACCTTATTCAAATCAAACTATTGCAAAGGAAGAAACATTTTTGGGGCTTGTTTTTGCTACAAAGCCACTTTCTAATCTATACGAGTGCTGGGTCAGTCTCTCGTCACTGACCTTCACCTTCACACAGGGATAAAGGGGGTAACAGATACTGGAGACTGCGGTCTGAGCTGCATGACGCAGACCACAGAGAGGAGGAGGAGGAGGAGGAGGAGGAGGAGGAGGAGGAGGAGGAGGATGAGGAGGATGAAGGACTATAGTCAGAAGAAACCTGTCTAAAACTGTTGTTGCTGTAGCTGTTGTCTCTTGGTCCATAGTCGTAGAATTGCCCCATTTTGTTAATGAGCACATCCAACTGCAAATATTGTAAGTGTCTCGTTCGTCTGGATGTTGGTTTGCAATGTGACATTATTTGCTCATTCTAATTCAAATTTCTACCCAGTAAGTAAACAGAAAAACAAATCTCTACTATTTGTCCTCCTCCCTTTGTTGTGTGTTAGCAACCTGGCCTTGCAGCTTTAATTTCATAGTGTCATCTGTTTTAATTAATAGTAACGACCACATCTGATTGGTCTAATTACACAGCACAGCGGAGAGAGAGGGAGGATTGAGGGTGGGGGAGAGGGACATATCCAAAAATGAACTCCATGATCCAACAAACCCCCTGCCCCAAAATTCCCCCACCCCAAAACTCCCCCACCAGAGGACACACTCTCAAAGGCAGGCACACACTGTCCTGTGTCCACACATGGTTTACTGCACTTGTACATACGACAGCCTTTGAACTACATGACTCCCACAACAACACAATGGCGCCCGACCATCGGTGGAGGAGAAATGCAGGGAAATTAAGAAATGGAGCAGAACAGCAACAAAGGAAGTCATTCAGATGGAAAAGGGAGGGGTGAGAGAAACAGTGAAAATGAAGAGGAGGGATGAAAAAGACAGAGTCAAAGTCAATCATGAGGAGACAGACTGTAACAGGGAGAAAACGTTTGAAGTGTAAATGTGTAAAGTTGTAAGAAAAAAAGACAGAGACAGTGGAGATACCCTCTGAGATGAAGTCTTTATCTCCATCAGGCAGTAATTAGTGGTGCCAATCATCATTTTGAGGTGTAAAAAGCTGAGGAGGATCCTGAAGTGACTTTAAAACACTGTCAGTCTACAAGTCTTCCTGCTTCTCTCACAGGACAAACACACGCTGCCATCACCTGTTGGCATTCTGGACGTCTGCTGCAGCTTGTGTTCAAGGTTAAACCTACAGGATCAAGCACAGTCCAGCCTTTACTCATGCATGCCGAACGCACATACACACACACACACACACACACACACACACACACACACACACACACACGCACACACGCACACAGACATGCTTACTGTGTCCTTGCAGTGTCTCTGTCACATTAATGCTCATCCACACTCACGATAGAAACACTTGCGCAATGACATAACAGCAGCGTTGATTTTGAATTTGACCTCACTTTGACTCTCCTATTACGCTGCTGCCACTCGAGCTCTCATCTCAGTTAATATGAAGGACTGTGGATGAATGCTGCTGTTAGGGTGCCATCAACATGACATGTAGATCCATATAGTCATGTTGATTTTCACTATGAAGTAGTTTGACACAAAATTCTAGCAAGAAAAAGTGAATGGTATTAAATTTGTATTTAATGTTGGGCTTATTTTATTATTACAGGACAACCAGTCCAGCTTAAATACTATAATTACCTAACCCTCATTTGTCTTCTCTCACCCAACCGGTTGAGGCAGATGGCCGCCGACATAGAGACTGGTTCTGCCGGAGGATTTCTATTAAACTGTGAGGTATCGACCATATATAAGATATATGAGATAATGTTTGTTGGGATTTGCCTCTGTACAATTAAAATGTAATTAAATTCCTTTCAAGTTGCAGTGAAACTCATTTTCCTCTACAAATGTCATACAGCAGGAGACATTTCTTTATTCTACATACTTGATCAATGACTCCCAAAATTAACCACTTTCAAGAGAAAGTGGTTCAGATTAAAGTTGGACTTATAGTTACAGTGTGAAAGCTCATAAACAGGAGTTGGCTCTAAATTTACAGTCAACATTAATAAACTGTGAGTAAAATCTTATATCCTGATAGAGGTCACTTCATATGTTATCTCCTTCCAGCAGATGTTGTACATTGTAAGTCTCATCCGTGATTACTGTGCAGGTGGTAAAGGTGGTCAGCGGTGATTTGAGTTTGTTGTGGGGACCAGTCTGCAGTGTAATTTGCAAAGTATAGTTTTCAGGTCAGAGAGAAGGAGCCCAGCGAAACCGTAGCTAGATTAATTTGATGTTATCATCATATTTGAATCTAGGTGAGTGAGGTCTGTGTCTGTGTGTGTGTGTGTGTGTGTGTGTGTGTGTGTGTGTGTGTGTGTCCTATCTTTCTCAGTTTTGAACTTTTGACATTAAGCAGTGAGGACATTTTTGGAAAGTGAAAACCTTTTGGTCAACATTTAGTAAGAGGCTGTTTAAGGGTTAAGGGCAGGGTTGGTAATTTGTTTCTCAGAGACTTTTTATTGAATATATTAAAATTCTTTTCACTTCCTGATCCATCAATAAACAAAGTCGTCTGAAAAACAGGACACAATAGACAAAGATTAGCGAGTGAGTCATGGAGAAGTCGACTTCTAGCAGTTGTCAGTGTGTTTACTAGGATTACCAACCCTAGCTTTAAGAATCAGATTGAAGTGGTAAGGATCAGGGTTAGCAGAATTTTCCATTGGTAGAATGTAAGGACATAAAAAAACAAAACACTTCCAGTTACTTTTTGTGTCAAATCGTTACCATTTAGACCAAATGCTATTAATTAGAGCGCTGGTACGTTCTTTAGTACTCAGTCATGTGGAGACAGTTACAGCAAACAACACTTTGGCTGCAAACTCTGTGTCTATCTCGTTCTTTCTTTCTGTCCTCCCCTCACCAAAAAAACAATTTCAAATAATATGAATGAAAAATAGACGGAAATAGTAAAAATTCTCTGGTTTCCGTCACTGCAACATCTCTTAATTAGCCGCTGTTACTGAAATGAAAGTAAAAGATCAAAAATACACTCAAACCTCCTGGAGTCATTTCTTCCTCAGTGAGAAGTGACGGATCCATAAACAGCCCTGCCAGGTATAATGTCAGGAATAATTCCTATGGAGCCCATATCCAGAATGCATTATTAATTCTTATTATAATATAAGAGCTTGTATGAGCCTTTATTGTAATGCATTAAGTCTTATAGATGTTTCAGATATAACAGCCACAAAGAGCCACCGAGCGTTGAGTGGAAACTATCAGCATGTTCGTCACTTCAGAAAAATAAAAAGATGGACTAAAAGCATTTAAATTAAAAATCATCATAATGCATCAGAAAAGCTTATGTCAACTTTGAAAAAATTTGTATTCACTAGTGCCTTTAACTAAACTAGAGTCATACCATCACTGTATTTTAATCCATTTCTATTTTAATTATTTTAATTTCTACTTAATTACTTTACATTTGTGTTACAATGTTAATGTAGTTGTACAGTGTAATGCATCAGGGAGTATTACGCACGTACCAGCTCATAATATTATTCTATCTTCAGGGGATCCTTTCTATAAGTTGAAGTTCTGTCCACGTTACTCATGAGCTGCCCTCCACATTTTTACAGTGGCCTTGTGTTGCATTATACAAGTAATTAGCCAGGTTAATGAATTCATTGGAATTCTTGGTGCATTAACAATAAGATTTAATTCTTAATGACACATTTTCCCTCATGTTTCAGCCTATAAGCAGCTCCTCAAGCTAATGAGGAGATTCATTGTGAATGATCAGCAGTGAGTCATTTACCTCTGCATCATTACACACTCAGTGCATTAAGAAAAATGATGCCACAGAATGAATATCATCACTGGGTGTGAAGAGATTTACCTGCAGGTTACCACAGATACGTCACATTGTTGAATAAGATGCCAACACAATAGACAGTGGACCCTAATAAGTTATTTTGGATTACAGAGTCCTCAGAGAATTATTGCTCTATTTTTATTGAAATCAATTATTTCAAGTGTTTAAAATAACTTTCTATTCGAGATACTGCTCGTCAAAATGAGTTCAGAGTGTTTGAGAGCCAAACTGCAAGATAAAACCAGAACAATTCCATGAAGATATGAAGATATAATAAAAACGTAATGATAATGATAAATATAGTGATAATGAAAAATAGAAGTAATTTCTCTCCTTCTTTCAGAGTGCTTGTTTAGGCAGATGTTGGCAGCACTGGTAATCAAACCAACAACCTTTAGTTGTTTTCTCCACATTCTGCTATGACAGCTCTATTTGCACTCGAGTGTCAGGCCTCTATAAATTCAGCGAGAGGGTTAACTGATGACGTTACTCAGAGATATCAGATTGACACAGTGTGCGGAGGGATCTCAGTGAGTGAAGGACTGCTTCCCTGATGAGACATTTTATATGGATATGAAGTGTGACCCTGGGTCTGCTGTGATGGGAACAAGAAGTAATAGGGTCACACAGAGTGACATGACGCCTGTAATGAGATGCAGTAGCACCGCGGTGCAGAGCAGGATTTATTGTCTGTAGACAATGATAATGGGAGAGAAGGTGAAAATGGCAACGGCAGCATCACTCTGATGATGGATGTAAAAGCTGACCTGAGGGGAGGCCTGGGA